TCACCATTATCAGAGAGTTTTATAATTGGATTCTCCTGGCACAGACAGCTGTCACTTCTGTGTGGAACCTGTCACAGTAACTAGACACATTTCCTGTAACACACTGGATGTAAAGCAAGGAGGGAAAGCTAGCTCGATTCTCTTGTGCCCTTTATTAATCAGTAGCACTCTTTATTTACCCTTGGGAGAAAAAGAAAGATATACTATATTTTTGGACTATAATGGTAGAAGTAAAATAAAATTTCAATCCCACGTCTAAAATGTACCCAACACATTAACACCGGCCCTATTAAATAGCAGTCATTCAGTCTTAATATTTGTAAACTGGAGTTACATGAATGTTGAACAGACTTCTGAAGACCAAATTGCTTTAATAGTTTCAAATTACACCATTCTATAAATATAAATATATATATATATATATATATATATGTGTGTGTGTGTGTGTGTGTGTGTGTGCGCGCGTGTATATGTAATAAGAAAAATAGAGGCATTCATTAAAGGAGATCTGAAATACAAGAAACATTGTACATAGGACAATAATGCCACAGTCCCCTTCATAGTAGGCACCTTGGGACCTCACAAAGTTCTCCCAGTGTCTCTTCCACTCTTCATAAAACTCTCAAAATGTTTTTGTTTGAATACTCATCATATTTACCTGAATCTCAACGACTGTCTGAAATCTCTTCCCTTTTAACTTCTTAAGGACACATGACATGTGTGACATGTCATGATTCCCTTTTATTCCAGAAGTTTGGTCCTTAAGGGATTAAAGGTAATTTTTAGTTTGGGAAGAGCCAGAAGTTGCAGGGTGCCACATTTGTCAACAGATTCTCAACCATATTTGAAGAATATGTGCCAACCCTTTTTTTGTGTTGCACTCATTGCATCATCCCAAAAAGCAGAAGAATGTACAAGCGTAATGCAAAATTTGATGCAGATTGAGTGCTCTACTTGCTCAGTCATTTAGAATGTGACAGCCCACAGTACATATCATTCAACAGCGTTTAGCACCCGCACTGACTAGTACAGTGAAGTCGTCATTGTTCACGCCTGCTCATTCCCATCCAGGTTACATCAATGTTGTGCAAACTATTCTCGTTTTATTAACAATGGCTTTTTCCGGACAGATCTCAGACCTGTGTGTGTGTGTTTATATATATATATATATATATTTATATATATATACATATATTTGTGGTCGGGGACAAAAAGCAGAGTTATGCTAGTGGTGCACAAGTTGGTTGTGGAGTGCCGAGCCCACCAATTTAAATGGCTTGATAAAGGGAGTGGTGGGTGGGCTGAACCAGACAGTTTCAGCCCAGAGGATGGGGCCGCCTGTGTATTAATAGGCTGAAATATCCCCTTCTTAAGACCAGTCCGGCACCTACACAATGTCAGAAAGTGGAGTCTGAGTGAGAAAAGACACAGATGCTGCCATGCCGTGACATTTTAGCCCCAAAGAAACAACATCTGCAGACAAAAGGAGTCAACACACTTACCAAGGTAAAAACACAGAAGAATTAAAAGAAAAAGTACGTAAATTTTAAATAAGGAGTTGGCTTGAAGCAGAAGACCAAAGAGAACAGATAACCAGCAATAACTGAGCCTAGCATGCTACAACACAAAACTGCAGCTCATCAGAGTAATATGGATACAGAACTGAAGAAGAATCTGTGTTAGTCTGTCTGGACAAGAAGAAAGTGACACTTGTCAGCAAAAATTAAAGAGCATCTACATCAAAGGCAAGAACATTGGACACCCAAAAAAGGAAAGCAAGCACAACAACAAGGTAAGCTTAGCCAAAAGCTGGTGCAAAGATGGCTCCTTCCTACAGAAGTACTGTGGAGATGTACATGCATGTCCAAAATGGGCAGTCAGAAAAGATTGATCAGCTGGTAAGAATTATTATGCACCATTTGGGAGAGCATGGAAAAAAAGAGGAAAAGGCATACACTCCCACCTCTGGCCATGGATGGAGAAAGGCATCCATCAGGCAACAATCTGGGTCTGGAAGTCAAATAAAAAACTGCAGAAGCTTACAATTCATCATGGATGCAAACAGATGCATATGCAATGGAGCCCTGGTCTCCTGAAAGCAAGAACACCATTCTTTCCAGATGACAGTCATTGACATCCCTCCAGTGTTGAGAAAACGAATCATAGAATGCAATCAAGTTAGTTTGACCTATGCTTAATAAAACCATGCTGGTTTTTGCTGATAACCACATTTTTCTCAAGGAATTCTTGAATATTATCTTTTAATAATCTTTCAAATACTTTCCCAGCCACAGAAGTTCGAAGAAGGTCTATAATTTCCAGGCAAGGATTTTTAAACCTTTTTGAATATAGGAACCAAATCTGTCTTTCTCCAAATCTTCGGTACACTTCCTGAATGAAAAGAATATTGAAAGATTAAAAACAGATGTCCACCTTTTTCCACACTTAGTTCCTTAAGTACTTGTGAATGAATACCATCAGGCCCTTGTTTGTATTAACTTTCTTTAGTTGCTGCAGCACCTTGTCTTGAGTCATCCAATTACAATTTTTCTGCAAATTTTTTATCATACCTATTGCCATATGTTCTTCCTTTTTTATATACGGAGGAGAAACAGCTATTTAAAATTTCTTCATTTTCCTGGTCTTCATTAACTAACACCACCATCCTGTTTTTTAGTGTGCCTATACTTAATGGTTTTTTTAGAATTGAGGTACTTAAAAAATGCTTTGGAGTTGGTTTTGCTCTTTGGCGATCACTTTTTCATTTTGAAGTTTAGCAAATCTAATTGCCTTTTTGAACGCATTATTGGCTTCCTTATATCTTTTATAAGATGCCCCTGATTTGTCTGATGTAAAGGATTTGAATGCCATTTTCTTATTTTAAATTTCTTGATTCACTTTCCCACTAAGCCACATTGGTTTCAATTTGTTTCTTTTATATTTATTGGAAAACAGAAGAATGTAGTTGAGATAAATGATCAACCTTATGCCCTCACCATGAAAATAGACCGTGACCTCCTTCAGCTGTTGGTGAAACACCAAGGGGAGGTGCTAAGTCCAAATTATGAAAAGCATGTGAACTGCCATGTCCTTTCTTGCACTGAAAGCAAATGAAATGATGACAATCTGGAAAGATAGGAATGGACATCTTCATGTCCAGATGCACGGACCAAGCATAATGCTGGAGCAGGTCCAGAAGAAAAATAATTCAACCATCTTGAAGTGTCGATAAAGGATGAAAGAATTCACCTCTTGAAGAGTTTTAACTGGATGAAAGTCTTCTGTCTTATTCGGCACCAGGAAGATATTTCTAAAAATAAATCCCTCTTAATCTGGAGCCTCTTCGATAGCCGACTTGCTCGGAATTGATCAGACCTCCTCATTAACCTGAGAGAAATCAGAAGAGGTCTTGGCCAGGACCTCTGTACAGGCGGTTGAGAAAACTCGATTACGTACCTCGACACAGTTTGTATTGTGTATTGTGGAAAAAAACAAGATGGCAAATACAACCCTACATGGATCCCAGAACATGGCTGTTGCAGTTGGCCAGGAAACAAAAGCACCCGACTGGTACCTGAGAGAGCACACCTAACTACTAAGGTAGAACCCAGCAAATAAAGAGAACCCAGATAAATTTCAAAGAGCACAAAGAGATAATTAGAAAAAATTATAGACATGTGCAATTCGTTTCGTTCCGAATGTTAATTCGGACGAATTTCGGCAATTCAGACCTTAGAATGCTTCGAATGTCTGAATTGCCTAAGTGCCGACTTTCTGAAGTGCTGAACCAAACCGAATTGCCGAATCGAATTACAGAAGTGCCGTATTTCGGAAGTGCCGAAGTGCTTCTGTTTTCTGAAAAGTGGCAAAACAAGAGAGGGGGCAAAATATATGTGAATGATGACAGGAATCTAACCCTAACTCTACCCCTAACCCTAGCCCTAACCCTAACCTTAACCCTACCCCTAACTCTAACCCTAACCATAGATTTGTAAGTGGTTGTGGTGGTTAGGGGATAAGGGTAGGGTTAGAAGTAGGGTTAGGGATAGGTGTAGGGTTAGGCATAGGGTTAGGCCGAAGTCCCGAATTGCCAAAGTCCCGAATTACCAAAGTCCCGATGTCCTGAATTGCCAAAGTCCCGAATTGCAGAAGTCCTGAATTTCAGAAGTGCCGAATTGCCGAAGTCCCGAATTGCTGAAGTCCAGAATTTTGGAAATGCCGAACCGAAGTGCCGAATTGACGAAGTCATACATTTCGGAAGTGCCAAACCTAATTTTTTGCCCATGCACATCCCTAAAATATAAACAAGGACAAAGACAAAACAGGTATAAAACTGAAAAGAACCAATAAAGAAAAGAGGGTGAAACAAAAACCCACCAACTAGAAAACCACCAAGGTAAAAATAAAGTAAGGAAAAGGAAATAAACAAACTATCACAAATAGAGTTGAGCAGACACCTGGATGTTCGAGTCCGGCGGGTTTGGCTGAACTTTGAAAAAAAATCCGGGTTCGGGGTCGAACTTGACCCTGAACCCAAACCCCGAACCCAAACCCCATTGAAGTCAATGAAGACCCAAACTTTTGGCCACAAAAATGCCCCTAAAAAAACTCCTAGAAAGAGCTAGAGAGCTGCAAAAGCAAGTAAAATGGAGGTAAGAGTATGACATGTGCCCTGCAAACAAATGTGGATAGGGAAATCACTTAAAATAACATAAAAATTTAAAATACAGCTGATCCATAAAATAGCACTAGATGGAATCTTTGATTTTTAGCTTTGGAAGAACATAAATCAAAATCTAAAGCATGGCTGTCAGGAGGATCAACAGAATTATCAATTTGAGAGAGGGTTGGAGTGCAGGGTATTCTCTTTCATTGTTCAAACTGAGCTCAACTCCTGATGCATGGCGAAAAGGCCTTCACAAGCCTCTGTTAATGTTTACCTAGTTTATAGTAGTTTATAGTAAGTTGAGGAGGCAGTAACCATGGTGGAGGAGGTGGAAGCAGTGGTGGAGGAGGAGGATGAGGTAGCCAACACTGTTTTTTCTATATATATATATATATATATATATATATTTTAATTGGGGTGGCCCCCAAAATATTGGGACATATAAAGAAAGACAACTCTGTTCCGCAGAGTAGCTGCTGACATTATAGTTGCGCAGACACTTTGTTGACTCTAGAGAACCTTGGCCAATCGCACATCCCCGTGGCAACGACTTTGCATGCGGATGTCATCCATATCAACTTTCGATGCCAGTTTCTGCGCCTACCATGGTTACCACGGGTAACGGTGAATCAGGGATCCATTCCATACAGGGACCCTGAGAAACAGCTACCACATGCATGGAAGGCAGCAGGCACGCAAATGACCCACTCCAGACGCGGGAAGGTAGTGACGACAAATAACAATACAGGACTATTTAGAGGCCCTGTAATTGAAATGAGTCCACTTGAAATCCTTTAACTCTGATCAATTGGAGGGAGGTCTGCGTGCTGCAGCTGAAACTCCACTATCGCCTGCTGCTGCTCGCACAGTCTCATGAGTCGGTGAGTGGGAAGGCCGAAGTTACGCTGTAGCGCAGACAGGAGAGAAGCAGCAGGGTGACAACGCCAAAAGCATGCACAGCCGCTACAGTGAATGTCACATCCTGTTCCAAGTTGCGGATCCGTCTGGTGATGGCTTCTGGTACCCAGTACTCTTTTTACTGAAGCTGCATCAGGGTCCTGGTATGTGGCCGCACAAACGCTGGTGCTCAACACCAGGGAGTGTGCAGTCACCCTGCACCAGACCTTGCTAATCTATTCCACACTCTGACTCCTAACTTCAACATCAGGCATACTGGGTCCCGGTCGTCCAACCGCCGCCCAGACAGTGTTTGGGTCCTGGTCACCGGACTGCCCACCTCACTGTGAAACTATGAATGGATCGTTAAATCTGGATCGCTCAACTCTATTATGGATCCTTTGATCGCTACATGTATTACTTGGATAACTAGTAATTCTCAAGCTAATACATGCTGATGAGCGCTAGGGGACGGCCGCTTCGCTTTAACCTGACACCCTGCTCCCTCTTATGCTGTGCTGGTGCCTCTGTGCGACCAGCTCCTCTTCCTCCAAACTGCACACGTCACTTGCGTGACCTTGATTCCATGTGGGGTCTAGGACCACATCATACTCCACATCATCTTCCACCCACTCCTCAACCATGCCCTCCTTGCCGGTATGCACACTGCAGAAAGCCACAGCAGTTGGCACCTGTGTTTTTCCAGCATGTAAAGTCTGCAAAGGACATATGGAAATTGTTTTAGAATTGTATCCAGGCAACAGTTTTCCCTATAAACTGACCTCTCAGTTTGACTTGTGAGGGTATAGCCCCAGAATTACAATATTGTTAAAGTACCTCTTAGCTATTGATCACTGGTTTAAATATAGCAGCTTGTTATTTGGTAGTTTCTAGTGTAGAAAATATCAATCTGTCTTCTATCACTTAGATCTGTGTAACAAGTGTTGTAGGTGTGAAACAATATTACAAGTGACCGAAGTAGTAAATTCGAATCAAAGTTACACTTCAATTTGACTCTCAGATATGAAGTGAACACTCCAAATATACTATTTAGCACCCAAAAGATTTTTACAAAAAATTTGACTTTTTAAAACTCCAATGTAAGCAGCAGATTAGCAGCAGAACAATTAGAATGGTTACAACTGCGCAGTAAGCGCACTATTTGACGCTTCTATTTGACTCTCAGATATGAAGTGCACCACAGGTCGCAAATGTACTATTTAGCAGATTAGCAGCAAAACAATTAGAATGTTTACAACTGCTCAGTAAGCACACTATTAGACACTTCGATTTGAGTCTCAGATATGAAGAGCAGGCCCCAAAATGTACTATTTAGCAGATTAGCACCCAGAAAATAAGAATGTTTACCACTGCGCTGTAAGCACACTATTAGACGCTTCTATTTTACTCTCAGATATGAAGTGCAGTCCGCAAATGTTCTATTTAGCAGATTAGCACCCAGAAAATTTGAATGTTTAAAACTGCGCAGTAAGCGCACTATTAGACGTTTCTATTTGACTCTCAGATATGAAGTGCACCCCACTAAAATACTATTTAGCAGTTTAGCACCCAAATAATTTTAAGTTTTAAAACTGCAATGTGACAGCATTATTTGACGCTTCTATTTGACTCTCAGATATGAAGTGCACCCCACTAATGTACTATCCCACTAATGTACTATTTAGCACAAAAAATGTTACTTTTTAAAACTTCGATGTAACCGCGGTATTTGAAGTTTCTATTTGACTCTCAGATATGAAGTGCACCCCACCCCACTAATGTACTAGTTTGCAGAATTCTTTCCTAAGCTGTCCCTATCAGTGACAGCATCCTCTCCCTACACTAATAAGACCGCATGTGCGTGCAGCGATACGCGACTCCAGCTTATATATAGAGGCTGGGTCACATGCTGCACTGGCCAATCACAGCCATGCCATTGGTAGGCATGGCTGTGATGGCTTCTAAGGGCACACAAGTCAAACGCTTGTTGATTGGCTGCCCTGCAGCCTTTGAAAACGCGCCATTAAATCGCCGAACACCGAACTCCAACCCGAACGTACAGTGATATGTCCGTATTTGGGTCCAGGGTCCAAAAAACCTAATGTTCGGTATGAACCCGAACTTTGCGGTTCGGGTTCTCTCAACTCTAATCACAAACTAAACCAAATACAGAGACAATCAACACTCTGATACTATTATCAATAGTTCAAAATAAAGCATACATAAACAAATGTTGATTGCCTAGGTAAAAACACATAGGGCACTTAGATCATCTCATTCAAACCCCTTGGGATAAAATGTCCAGAGTAAAAATCTAAATGACCTCCTTGCGCATTAACTCTTTGTCCGTATCCCCAACAATCGTCAATGAGGGTTGTTGTTATCAATTCCCATTAACTCAACTGAGGCCAGGGGTTGTATAACCTCAAAAAAATGTCTTGCAACTTGGTTGGTATTTAGGGGCTACCCAGTAATTCACTAAACACCAAAATGTGTTCGGCTGGACAAATTCCAGTGAAAATTGCTGAATTCTGGCCACACTGACAATTCTTATATTTACTAAAGCTTATTCCAGTTGGAATTTTGCAAAGCCAACCAAATCTGCACCAATTATAAAACAATGATTTTAAAAATATTAGGGGCTGAATGCATTTTTTGTGCAAGAGATCAATAATTTGAAGTACTATTTGCCAACTGGCAGCACAAGAAGCCAGTGGGCAAACATTTAAAAAAATCTAGGCAGTATCCGCTTACCATCACTTGCATTAAAATTTTAAAACTAAATAAAAATAAGACAAGTGGTGCCAATATGACCCCATATTAATATAAGTGAGGTTTGAAACCTTCCATGGCACATCTTGAGAGAAGTGAAACTTCTGTGGAAATGCCTTTTTTCTATTGCTTAGCATTCCTGATTTTTATTTAAACATTTTCTAGGTCCAAATTACAAATTCGCTGTACCGAATTTGGTGCAAAATCATAGGGATTTCTACGATCCATGAATCATAAGGAATTTCCTTATGATGTGAACCAATAGCAATTAAGCCATGCCTATTTATACTTACCACTCCCACACCATGTTGCCCTGTTGTGGTTCTAGTAGCCCAAGAACACGTTCTTTGTGTATCCCTTTTCTCTGTATCTGATTTGACTGGTTTATCATTTCTGCTGATCACTGTAATCCTTTGACCCTGGCTTGTAATATTGTTCCTCCTTATCTCTGCTGTACTCGACCTCAGCATTCTCTCTGACTCCTCTACGGTTAATCTGGTCACTCTATGGACCGGTATATGACAAGTTATTTCTTGTGCTACAGTCTGCATGTTTGGTTCCAATCATGACAAGTCTCTAAATTTGTGACTTGAGTCCAAGTCAAGTTCAAGTCATGATACTCAAGTCCACATCCCTTGTCTTTAGCCAACCTTTGTACTACCATTATTTATTTTTGGAAATAGTAAACTGATTTGTATTTGTAGTCAAAGTATAAGTTAGTAGAAAAAGTCATAAGGATCAAATTAATAATGGGTGGAGGGGAAACAATGCTACTTTTCACTTTTAGTGGTGGATTTTCAGAGACTGGGTTCTAGCCTTTGAAGAACTTTAGCTACCAAGGAAAGTTTGTTTGGGTCAAATGGATGGTCCAAAAGGTAAAATACCAAGACCATTAACTCCTTTTTGCAGGTTGGACTCTAGGATGTATATGTCACGTATTCATACGCTTATAAAAATGTGGTCAATGACATTTACTGTCCACACAGGAAAAGTTGTGCCGAGCAGCAACCAAATCCACAGAAGTGTTAATGCTGAGCAGCAATTATGCAAATGGGCCTGGTAACTGCTTTGGGGTCAAGGGCCAGTTACAGTCTATCAGATGTAGAGGAGGGGTATTTAGGCCCAGTTCTCATCCTGCTCAGTGTCGTGGTTTCCCTTGTGGTTGTCTGATAGCGCGTTATTGATTCTGGTAATTCTGGTTATTTGACTTTGGCATTGTTTTTGATTTCCCTGTTTTCTGGCATCCCTGACTCCTGGCTTTTCCTTATCGTTGTGTCTCTTTCTGTTTCCCTTGACCTCGGCTATTCCTGACTATTCTTTGGTACGTTAGTCCGGCCATTCTAAGGTCCGGTATACGTTACCTATCAGTCCTCTACGTTACACAATTCTACGTGCTGGATCATACTGTAATCCTAACAGTATATTGCCCACACTTTTGATTCTACCTTGTGCTGTATCTGCCCTTGACCTTAGACCTTCTCTGAAGCCCCTGGTTCTAAAAAAACAAATATATGTTGAAATTGTGGAAACAGTGAATTAATTGCCTGTGCGGTTTCTGTCTCAGATCCTGATTCACCTAAAGCCAGGTCAGTGGTACTGTCTTATGGTTTCTAGATGTGACAGCAGTAAAAACCATTCGGCCCATCTAGTCTGCCCAATTTTCTAAATACTTTCATTAGTCCCTGACCTTATGTTATAGTTAGGATAGCCTTATGCCTACCCCACGCATACTTAAACTCCCTCACTGTGTTAACCTCTACCACTTCAGCTGGAAGGCTATTCCATACATCCACTATCTTCTCAGTAAAGTAATACTTAGTGATATTTTTAAACCATTGCCCCTCTAATTTAAGATTATGTCCTATGGCTGTGAGAAAGAGTGGAGAAGAGAGTCAGTGCTAGTGAATCCTAAGAGAAAGAGGCAGCACTCCCAAACAAGGACTCCCTCACGTGTCCTTGAAATTAATGGAGAGATAGCAAACAAACAAAAGGATGGGGCTGCGCCACAATATACAAAGTA